TTTTTTTTTTTTTTTTTTTTTTGTTTAATAAAAGCATGTTTACAGTCAGTGGGATAATTGTTTTTCTTCCGTTAGAGGGCAGCAGCTAGTGTGGAAGTTAAAAAAAACTCCAGAGACTCCGGTCTTCCTGAAAGTGGGGAATTTGTCCTGGTTTGCTTATCGGTATTGCTGTATATCTGTGTTTGCAGCAACCCGCTTAAAAGTCTTTTGTGTGTTTTCTTTTGACAGGCTGGTTATAAGAAGAAACTGTGGAAGAAGTCAGCTGCCCAGAAGAAGCGTTTGAGAGAGCTGGTGTTGTGCACTAGAACGCAATGTAAACTCCTTGATAAAATGACCACTTCTTTCTGGAAAAGAAGAAATTGGTATGTTGATGATCCCTACCAGAAGTATCATGATCGCACAAATCTTCGTGTGTAGAAATCCTGGTTTCACTTTTGCATCCCTCTAGGAAAGAGGTGGTGGTACATATGGCATGGTCTTAATTTTAGAACATAAATCTGTAATACTGGTTACTTTTCTAAATAAACATATGCATATCATCTGATCAGAATTATGGGTATCGATGGCCAAAATAAAGGAATATTCAATATTATCTTGAGCTGCAATTTATATTTTACTTGGCAGAGATCAAGCTGATCACCTACATGTTCTGACGTCTGTTGGTTTCCTGTGATTGTGTGTAATGTGGGTGAATACAGTCTAAACATCATTAAAAGTGAATAATTCAACATATTTAAACTTAAAATTTTTAAAAGAAACATGTTTAAATAACCCCAGGATATATTTTGCTGTGTCCATACTTATTGGTAGCTCACTGAATGGAGTCTCCTTGGGCAAAGGGAGAAAGGAGAGCCGGCTCCGTTTCAGTATCGTTGCCTGTCACGGTACCAGATAAACTGTTGCCTGTCTTCATGCTAGAGAGCATAGAAAAAAAACCAGTGTTTCACGGCTACATGCAGCTTTTATAACTGACTTAAAAATGTATTAGCCACGAAATTTCATTACAGGACTCACATTTTGTATCCTGTGTTGGTTTTTGAGGAGTAGAATATATTCCTTGGGTCCTACGCTACATCCTCAAGCAGTCAATGCTGAGTATTTTCTTGGTTTTATTCTTTCTTTAAGCCTGATTATACCTCCCCCTGCATATCTCTGATCACATGTATATATGGAACAAAACCAAAGATTTATTACAGGGTCCTTTTGGAGTGTACAGTGCAACTCGTCTCTGGTTTCGCCAAGGGCTAGATAGGAGGTTTTCTTTACAAACCTGATATTCCAGCAAGCATATGAAAAGCAGTTGCTTCTAGCAGTAGCTTCAAAATGTTCACTAATAATTAACCCATTATTAAGCAGGTAGTCCCTGGTTATCAGCTCCAGAGCCACCTCTATAGCAAGAGATGGTTTGCTGTTCAAGGCTGTAGCATTTCAATGAATTCACTAGTTACTCAGAGTGTTCAGTAGCTGTATTTTTTTTTTCCAGTTCATAATACAGAAAGAAGTTCTGAAGGACATGCAGCACTTAGTGAATACATCTATATACAGTCAGCCAGAATTGAGATAAAAATAATACAGTGATCAAAGTAATTATTCTGGCCTGCCAGATACATTGAACAGACTAAAGATGTTTTCTTCTTTTTTTTTTCTTTTTTTTTTTAAAGAAAAGATTAAGACTTTATTCAAGATGTATATCAAGCAGTATAACAAAATCAGCAAAACATCAACCTTTGGAATACTGTTGTAATGGCCATCCTTGTGAGGCATTAAGTGTACCATTTCATCACAGGTCTTTTCTACCGATCACAAGAAAGAAATCACATGAAGGGCACAATTATGATCCTTAAATAGTTTGTCTAAACGCAAATCCCAACGTAGTGTTCTCTGCTATTTCAAATATGGTGCTAGATGCAAAATGGGTACCCAAAACAAACAGCAAAAAGGAGACTCTGATTAACAAGCATTCGGTCACAAGTACAAGGGTTTCATCGCTACATGAGAACACTCAGAGAGCAGTCAGAGGCAGCAGGTTGTTTACATGAGGGTAAGGAGCATTGTATCTCTCCAAGCAGCTTTCTCCCTCTCAATAGGAATATATAACCCAATTCTCCTTTCCTTCTGTGCCAGGTTTGCACTTAGACAATTTAGATTAGCGTGGGATTAATTCCAAGGTGACAGCGATATATATGAAGTCTGTCTTGTCTATATTTGATGTGATTCTGATTCAGCAACTGGCGACTGCTGTAACTGCGCTGACACTGGCCCCTACAACAAGAAAGGAGGCACGGAGGACTGCACTGCCCTGCTCAAGCTTAGTCTCTTCATAATTGAGGTGAATTTATGGTAGATGGGTGAGGTAATTCACAGGCCCATTTACCATGGACCATCTTCAGCTGCAGTTTCCTTGAACTGCAAGAATAATGCATGTTTCGCTTGAGCCTTGTGCTGGCTAAAGGCTGTATTTTCTAGGGCTGGCCTGTTCCTTTCAGAGTTACACTCTCTGGACCATCTCCGAGAAGTCAGGAGGAGCCTGCCTGCCCTACAGGACTGATTGCAGAGGCCAGCTGCCTGAAAGGCCCCGACAGCTGGGCTTTTCTTACTTAAGCCAGATCTGTTGCTAGTTTAAACCATCAGCTTTAAGATTGCTTGCTTTTAGGAGGAGTAATCTGCAAGCGGTTAGCCGGCTTGCACCCTCAGAGCCTGAGCTGGGAGGAAGCTGAGAATTGTTCCCATCAACACGCCCCTGAGAAACCACCATCCATGTGTCCTCTCTTTGCTCAAGTCCTGCAAACTCTCGTTTGCCAGGAGGGGTCAGCATCAGCGCAGGAAGGCGACTCGCCGAATCGGGCTCGTTCCTTGGCAGAGGCTCAAGAGAAAAGCTGCAACAAAAGACTTCATGTCTACTTCATGTCTGGTGTTTATTCTGAATGAATGCAAGCAGCCGAAGAGTGAAATGACAGACTTGGGGCAACACCTGTAAACAACCTGTGTGGGGGAGACGAGGAATCAAAAGCAAATGACCGTTCTCTCCTGTATACAGAACACTACAGCACTAAGTGTACGTGGTTAGGCATTCACATTTCTTGTCTAGCTATACACAAATATACAGCTCAGTTGATAAATTAATACGTTTTTGCCAGAGATATGAAAAGGTTTATTTTTCTTATTTATACAGTGAACGTTTTGAGAGATATAAGGCAACTCCCTTGTCAACAATTTTACCTCAGCACTTAAGAAATGCTAAACAGTCAAGTTTACAGTAAAACAGCAGATTAGACGCACATTTAATAATTTTAGTGAGAATCAATACAGTGTGTCTGAGAATAGAATTTGTCAGATGTTATGTAGCTCTATGTTGTTGGTTTTTTTTGGCATAACTGAGTGCAAACTTGTCAGCTGCTTTTTTATCTTATGACAGCCCATCGCAGAGCAAGAAAACACAGCTTGCTTGCAACAGGGTTTTATTTTCTGCTAACACTGCAGGCAGTTTTTCTATTTCTTTTTAATGTTTGCCAAAAGAAATCAAATAAACTCTAAAGCTGCTTAAAAATAAAACACACAAGCTTAGCTCCTCAAAGCTTTTGCTGAGTATCTTCCACGGACTGACTCTTCTGTAACTGCTATTTAGTCAGGTTTGTTGGGTTTTTTTCAATTACTTTCTGAAGAGTTTTTCCTTCTTACCCATTGCAAAATATGATTGAATTAGCACATATAAAGGAAATAAAATTCTCAGGCAATGAGGCCAAATATTGTGGCAGACACAGGAAATACCTGCTTGCTTGTTCCACTTCCTAGCCAGGTCAGATAAACATTTGTGCGTGCACATAATTTATTTCTCTCTTCCCCACATATGTAGGAAGCTCGGGGGGAAACCTCAGGGATCCATCAGACAGGGACAGCTGGGATATCGATGCATATCCGGCAGAGAAAAGGTTTCAAAGGCCACTTCAGATTTGTCTCCGAGCCTGGTACACTCCAGCCGGCTGTTGGCATCCTGGACTGCTGCACCTGAACTAGATTAACAGTACTGTTTATCATCAAGCCTGTGTACTGATCCGTTAGTGATGGCACGTTCTACATAATGCTAAATGTTTTTCTAGTCTATGTGACAGGTCCAAGAGCAAACACAAAGGGCCACGTAATTAACTTATGTGTGAATCTTCACATGCTCAACACTTACAAGAGACACCAACTTGAAGCACAAATACACAAACCCTACCACGTCTTCCTCTTCTTTTATATTTCTCATTTATATATGGATACAAATACACCACTCCATCTGGTTCTTGTGGTTCTAACCAAACTCCATACTACAGGTGAAACTCCAGGCTTCAAAAAGCAGCTCAGACCCAGCGCCCTGCTCTGCTCGTGCAAGTAAAACAGCAGCACCTCACCAGGAAAGCAGAGCGCTGGGACTGACACTGTTGCAGGCAGGGGAGAAAAGTGAGTTTTCCCCTGGAAGTGCGTCACTAAGGTGATTCTATGTTCTGTTGCTGCAGCTAGTACAAGCCTGGCTTGCTCACACTTTAAAACTGGCAGTAGAACCTTTGCCGCAGGCAATACGGCCTAGTTCTTCTAGCCACCATCGTTTTCCACACAATACTCTCCTGGCTCAGGCTGATCAAAATTAAGACTCCTCCTTCATTACATCGTTGAAACCGTGTATTTTCTCTCGCACGTCTCTTCCTCGTCCTCTGTAAGTGGTTCTGTCTCTATGGCTTTTAGCACAATGATTTTCTCGGAATAAATGTGATTTACTTGCAGAAAGAGAAACAGAGTTGCAGTTCAGCTTTCGGTAATGAATCTTGGACATTTTGTACAGTCAAAGTACTTTGACATTTGTTACATCATTCAGAGTCTTGAGGAGGAAGGGAGGAAAGAGAAATCCATGGCTTCTGCAAATCCACTTCATTAATGATAAAGCCATAAATAAATACACTGTCAATGTATCATCATGAGTAACTGATTATTTTTGTTTCCGCTGTGCATTCACAGAGCTAGAGCTATGCAGACACAAACGAGAATTGTAAATGTACAGCCTTACAGGATCAGCGTGAGCGGGTGTACACTCTGCAAACGAAACAAGGACTCTTAACCTGCAGGTATCTGCCAGACTGTCCTACCCACGTCACGGACAAACGCGAGAAGCGTGTAACAGAAGGATACAGAGAGAGGAGAGAGAAAGGCCATGTCTACAACGCTGTACATCAAAGCACATCCATCCCACTGCTGTTTCCTACATTATTAATGAGTAGCTCTTTAAGGCAGAAGAGAGACATTCTGTGGATCTTGGTGCTATTGGCTCATTGCACTCACATTGTTTCAGTGGCAGAGGAGGAGGTACTTTTCTTCCTGAAGCGAGGTCTAAGGGTCCTAGGCGGTGCCTGCAGAAAAGCAAGAGAAAACTTCAGTAGCATAATAGGAAATGTTTTTTCTTTCCTTAAAACTCACCCATCTTTATGGCACCTCTGTGACAATGATCCTGCTCCAGGCATGAAGTAATGGAGAGGCAGATCTTGGCCCTGAAGATCATTAATGAATGACCATCTGAAGACTAACCCCTTTAAGAAACCCGTTATAGTCCTTTACCCAGGTTACACCAACACCTTCCCCTCCGGCGCTTGGTTAGAGGTGTGGCTAAAGATTGCTAATAACATAACAGTCAAAGGAGCCAGGGCAAATTGGTGCCATTTACAGCAGCTCTTGGATGAAGAGAGCAAACTGGTGGCAGAAAGCCAGCTCTGGTGTCTCCCAGCCCACGCTGCAACGTTCAACCCAGCCACAGCCCCTCTGAGGGTACATCTTGTTGGGGCATTACAAAGCTGAAGGGGTCCCCAAGGTGGAACACACTGGGCCTGTCATTCTCACAAGGCAGAGCTTTTTTAAAAGATCAGCCCCTCGCTTGGGAGACAGGCCAGAAACAAGCCGTTGAAATTATTTTAGAAGCCAACTATTGCAATTCTGCCTTGCAGCCAGCTGATGCAGAGAGCTTTAAAAAGGAGCCCTGAATGCCCAGGAGGAGCCAGATGAACTCCATGAAACTGGTTTACTGTGATTAACCCCATTCTCCAGACTGAGACAGAAATTAGTTAGACTAGCAAACAAAAAAAAAAACCCACAACCAAACCTAATCTGCAGTGCATACTTCTCTCAGTAGAGCTTTGGCGTAGCATTGTGTCTTGCAAGTTTCACAAAAAGAAATGGTTACCAGATGTTGTGGAGGAGCACAAATTCTCAGTGTGGAGCCCTGTCATAGCATCACGTAACACTGCAAGGCCTGGTAAGCTCTTCAACTCCATTTACATAAATATCCAAAGCTTTATTTTCTTTAACAACATCAACCTATTTACCTGTAAGACTACGACAGCGTCTTACCATTCATAAGTGAGGACTTTGTCATTTCTATTTTATAGGACTTTCCAACCCAAGATCATGCTGTGCTTCCACATTCCTGTGATGCAACAAGGTATAAATATTCATATAGATACAGAACCGCAGTGCAGCGAGGTTTTGTTTAGACGACTTCTAAATCTCCATCTCTTCCAGCTTGCCCATAAACCAAGGTCGTTTTTCCCGGAGATGGAATTAATCCAACACCCCACCCCATCTTCCAAGCCTGAAATTTTACCTCAAGTTCCCACAGTGAATCCCCAAAAGCACAACAGAGCTGGATGGGACAGCTGCATCCAAAAAGGCACAGCTGGAGGAGAAAAGCTGAGGAAGAAAGCTGCTGTGCGTGGCAGGCAGGGATCCCACACCACCCCAGACTCCATAGCCTCTGGCTCAGAGTCGCTATCTGTAAACCAGGAGCTCGGGGACACAGCCTGACAACCACAACAGTATCTCCTGCAGCTTGGGAGAAGGCTGCTCTTTGGGAAGCCAGACGGCTCTTAAAGCAAAGCAGCCATTTACTGCACAGTAAAGACTCTTAAATCAGGAGTGAATAGCTCTGCCTCCTCTGGGAGGCCACTTGACAGCTCTGAGAGAAGCTACAGAGGCTGCACCTTTCCACAGTAAGAACAGAGCAGCCCAGCTTTTGGTGAGATCCCCCCAAAGATAGGATGACCCACCACAAGATCACACAACTGCTTACCAAACCACACTGCTCCAGCTCCCTCACACTGAGCCAAGGGGAGGGTGGAACAAACCCAGCTCCCCCATGGTGGAGATCTCCCAGCTTGGATCTGAGAGCTGCTGGCTCTGGCCCCATCCCCCCTGCCCAGATCTGGAAGGAGTCTTTGCCTACAGCATCTCCCATGGAGGTTTTATTTCCTCCACAACAAAATGTTGCTAAAATTGCTTTTGGCAAACTGCAGTGTGAGAACTGCGTCTCCTTTAGATCTTTTGTTTCCACGAAGCAACTTAAAGCATACTTGTTAATACAGTGCCTGATTCAAAAACCTATTGAAGTCATGAAGGAAGAACTGCCGCTGGTTTCGGTGGGGTTTGTCTAGGTGTGAACTCAAGCGAGAGGGACTGTGAGCGCTCTGGCTGTGGGTGCTGGCTGCTCTCACCGTTAACTATCCTGCCTTGGGGGTGAGAATATATTTTCCTCTGCAGACATGAAAAACCAACTAGCAGTTGATATCCAAATCCTCTCACCCAAATACTTCCACATTAGCACATGGTTTAGAGCTAGATACAAGTTTTGCAATTCAGATCCAGCTCTGAACCCCCTATAACTGTTATCTCCACAGGCACTAATTCAGACTTCTTTCAGGAAATCCACACATGCAGAAAAGTGAGTGAACCCATAGCAAGACCCTCCCCTGAAAGACTAGAAATGTATTGTTTGGACACAGTGTTTTTAAACCAAAGAGAGATGCTCATTCAGTTGAAGCTTCAAGGAATGTCATAGAAGGAGGAGCCTTGACAATATGGAAGTACCTCAAGGGGTTGATCCTTCTTTTTGGGCCTTTTGTTCATGGATGCAGAATCCAATGAATAGTTCTCTTCATCATCTGAGAACACAGAGCCTTTTGTTTCACAGTTTGCCTCAGGTGGCTTTTCATACTTATTGTCCACACCTATTTAACACGGCCATTTACAGTCTGAAGACAAAGGATGAGGAAATCAGTGATGGTTTGATTCACACTCTGCCAAATGCCACATCACTGCAAAGCCATGCATCTTCCAGGGATTAATAGACAGAAGGTTCACACATCACACTCTAGTAATAGCAGCTGTGGGGTTAGAAATAAAAAGGCTCTTGTTTATGAAGGCATTATAAGCTCTATTTGGATTATTTTACATAGAACTGAGACTAAATTCACAGCCTGTGATGTTCTGGAGGTTGACTCTACACAGAGATTTTTTTTGTTTGGCTCAGGGATAAATAAAATAGCTGATCTCTTGAATCACTGATTCCATCCATAGTTCCTGCATCTACTGCTTGCAGAAGGAGTGTCCTCTAGAAGACACCAAATGAGTGTTGAAGCCCTCTCAACAGTATGGAGAGAGCTGCCTGGAACGCAGAAATATGAAGCACGGCAGCACTAATTGACTTGAAGCTGAGAGAGCTCAAGCCAAGCACCCAGCCTGAGATCCACTGAAGTCAGCCAAAAGCTTTAACAGGCATTGAATGGACCCTCAGCAAGTGGATGTGTTGCTGCAAGACCAGAGTGCGGAAAAGTCCCTCTTCTGTCACTCTGGGGTAAATCATAGAGTCATAGAATGGTTTGGGTTGGAAGGGACCTTTAAAGGTCATCTAGTCCAACCCCCCTGCAACGAGCAGGGACATCTTCAACTAGATCAGGTTGCTCAGAGCCCCGTCCAACCTGTCCTTGAATGTTTCCAGGGATGGGGCATCTACCACCTGGGCAACCTGTGCCAGTGTTTCACCCCCCTCATTGTAAAAAATTTCTTCCTTCTATCTAGTCTGAATCTACCCTCTTTTAGTTTAAAACCATTACCCCGTGTCCTGTCACAACAGGCCCTACTAAAAAAGTCTGTCCCCATCTTTCTTATAAGCCCCCTTTAAGTACTGAAAGGCCGTAATAAGATCTCCCCGAAGCCTTCTCTTCTCCAGGCTGAACAACCCCAACTCTCTCAGCCTTTCTTCATAGGAGAGGCATTCCAGCCCCCTGATCATTTTTGTGGCCCTCCTCTGGGAGGAGAATCTTATGGAGCATTAACTCCACTGATGGATCTGAAGGCAGATTATGGCCCCATGACTACAAACCACTAAGGCCTGCTTGGTGGTTCTTAACCTTGCAACTTATGGCAAGACCTTTGTGGGACTGGTCATGTTGCACAACACAATCCATTTGCTGCCTTAAATCCAGATAGTGAAGCAAGATGGTATTTTTAATGGCCAGTCCAAAGCAAGAGGTACAGCAAAGGACACCCAGACCAAGCTTTCTGCATCTGCACAGACAGTTTCTAATCAGCAGGGCTGGAGCTTTCTTTGTTTGACTGATAGTTAGGCTTTTTTCATTCTGAAACATGTCAGGAGTGGAAGTGTTTGCTGTTTAGATGGCATTAACCACAGTACTGGCCCTGTACTTAGACTGTTGTATAAACATACATAGAAATAATGCTCTTTGCTTCTTGCCTCAGCCTGACTGTAAGCCTGTATCAGCCTGACTCTGCTGGAACAAAGACTAAAACCCAAAGACTAAAACCAGAGAGGATTCTTAAACGTCTAACACTTATTAATCCATTTAGATCCTTAAAGCACAAAAGAACTGAATTCTCCAACAGCTCTTTCAGTTGGGTAACGGAGAGACAAAGGAGAAGTGATTTGGCTACAGCAACACCACAAATCATGAGCAGGTCACTGGGGCTCTCTCTGGTGCCAAATTCAAGTCGGCAGCTAAACGCTTCCAGCCCCTGCGTTCAGCCCACAGGATGCGGCTGCTGCTCAGGAGAGCGGTGCACACCACCTTCTGGCCACTGACCCGGTGTTTCTACCCCTTTATCACCATTTGCATTGGGCAGGCTAGAAGTCACCATCGCAGGTTTCCGGGAAGAGCCAGAAGTCAACTTTTTCCCAGCTGTACTGAAAATGCTGATAGTCACATTGCAGAGAGGCCCAGGATAAAGCTGAATTGGTTTTTTTTCTATATATGATTGTGGTGTTAAGACTACACTGTGGGGAGAATTAAATGTGTTCTCTAGACCACATGGCAAATCAGTCCAGGAACATTTTATTTTAATTACTATTTTATCCTTCCACTTGGGATGTGAGATATTCAGGAGGCACCTAGCTTAGGTCATCTTGGATATGGGAGTTGGTCCTTGTGCCTCTCTAAGCCAATGAAAAAAGGAGTCAAGTTTGGTTTAAATGCTTTGTTCAGAGCTTGAGCAAAGCCGGAACCAAACATGCCCAAATCTGCAGCTTGGAGGCTAAGTACTGCCCCCAACACCGATTCATGTGACTGCTCCCAGCTGTCCTCTTCCCCAGAGGTCCCTCAGATGTGGCCTTCAGGCTGGCCCAACAACACACCCCCAGCCACGTGCTGCTGTGAGGAGACAACGGCTTTGCCCAGGAAAAAGAGGACTTCACAGGGGACAGGACAGGGGAACGGAGAACAAGAATTAGAGCATTCAGTGACCAGACTGCGGAGATGCTGGCTGCTGAAGCTGAGAGCATACAGGATTAGGCAAATGTGCCCTGCTCCCTTTCTCCTACAGCCAGCCGCTCCGCTGCAAAAGGAGACAGAAGGAACTGTCAACCCTGATAACACTCCTGGGAATCCCATGCTTGTCTAGCATATGTTGCTTTCTCCGATATTATTCTCTCTCTTGAATTGGGTACTGGCAAAAAAGATATCCAGGCAGCTCTGCCACCTGCATTGCCCGTCTCCGTGACAGGCACAGCAGAGGCACAGTCTCCTGCAGGATCTTCTATTCTCCCTATCAGTCTGAGCATCATATCCATGTCCTGGAGATGCTTCCATGAAGATCAGGATAAGCCTCCAAGCTGGCACATACTGCTTTGACCCCCGCAGCAGAGAGGTCTGTAAAGTCCACTGGAAGTTGGGCTGAGGCCCTCTCCTCCCCTGCTCCATCTCATTGTGAATGAGGCACTGAAAACCAGCCAAATGAGGACCAGTTTTGCTTCAGCCTCACTGAACTGGAAAAGGGAAGAAGCAGGTCTATCTCAGGTCTTTCCACTACATTTCTGACCATTGATGAGAGCAGGTCTTGAACACACAGGGCACTTTTTTTAAGAACTGGAGCAAGAAGGGACGATTCCCTGCCCCTCCTGCCTCGGGAAGGACATCTGTATTGTGCACAATCCCAACCTCGTATTGATCTGGGGTTCCAGACTTTGTCCCACGTTTGTGGAAGCATTACGCTCTTGTGCGACTGAAGGCAACTCACATCTGAAGGGCTGCTGCTGTGTGAGTGCCAACTCTGAAGTTGTTTTTTTTGTAAATGGAGTGATGACAGGATAAAAAAATACTTTTCCTACACCAAGGGAGTGAGTCCTCTGCAGGAGAAAATGTAAAGCAGGGGATTAACCAGAATAATAAGCACACGTGAGGTATTAGTGCGAAAGGAGATGGAGGCTTAAAGTGAATGGACGGGTTCTGGGACACCAAGGTTTGTTTCTGGAGAAGGCTTAGACCGAGGAGCAAAACATGTTGTCAGGGCGGGCACAGGCTTCTCGAGGACAGCACTTGGCCTCGGGTGACCTCCTGAGTGTTTCTAAGAGCTTTGGGATCTGAGGCTGTGGGGCCTCAGGTCACTGTCAGATGTCCCCAAAATGGCAGAGCCAGCAGCGTGTGCTGCTCCAGGGAAGCAGCTGACAGCCCCAGGGACCGTGTCACAGCCAGGAGGTGGCTGCATAAAAGCACGGACCATACATCAGATGTCTCCCCCGGCTCTCTCGTCTTTGGGAGACTCTCACTGCCCATCTCAGAGCAGGCTGTATTTCGGGTGTCTCCACCTCTTACATTTATGGCTCGACACCTTTGTGTGGAGGGGCAGAATCGCTGCAGAAACAGGAAGTTGGCTGGTGTGCCAGGGCTAAAGCTGCTGCCGCCTCTTGCAAACGTCTTTTCAGTATCCAGACCAGATTACACTCCTCTCTTCACTAAGGCAAGACAGAATCTGACTGTAAACTTCCCTTCCCTAAGGAAAGGGACCCCTTAATTCCAGTTCCTATCATCCTATCCTAATTCCTTCAAAGCAAACCGATAAACCAGCACACTGCGTGGGAAGCCCTGAAACTGGGCATACTCCAAGTTAAAGTAGACAGGGTTGGGATCTAAGCTATTAAACGCACTGCAGGGAACAACGCAGCACAGACAAGGGAATGTAGGCCAGACCATCGTCATCTTTAATCTCTGTGATTCTACATGGGCTAAAAAATCTCACTTGCAAAACTCTTTCTACAGCAACAAATGGGATTCAGTAGCAGGCTGTTTTTTCAGCAATTGCTTTGATTCAGGCTCTGATCTATGCTGCTGTTTAAATCCAGAGTAACTTCTATGGATTTTCATGAGTACAACAGAGGTCAGGGCCTGGCCCATTCTAATTACAGAGGAGCAAAGGACTTTGATCTAGATCCTCTGAAAAATTTGGACACTTAAATACAGTTACAGTGGGAATCAGGCACCCCAATACCTTTGAGAGAAGCTGGACCCCCCTTATTTTCCCAGGCAAGACTTCTTTCTCCTGTCACTGTAATTCTTTGGGAGCAATGGGAAAGACCACAGTCACAGACTACACAAACCAGGAGCAAGGTATTGTATTATTGTAATGGAAGATAAAGTCACTCCAGCCTTTCCAGGGGATAATTCATATAAGGAGATTTGCACACCACTTAATAAGAGCAAGAGAGCAGGTATTTATTATATGATGGCGATCAGCTTCTTTTCCCTGCAAGAAAGACAAATTTGCCATCATTTCCAAAAGACAATGACCCAAGTCATGTACTTCCCCAACAGATTTCATTGCCAAACGAAGAAGTTAGGAGCAGCCAACTCCACCAGCACACACTGCCCAGGAGCCACAAAACAGAGGCAGACATCCTTTCCAAAGCTGAAGTCAAGTGCAACCAAAGCAAACAAGTCTAATCACATCAACAAAGTCATCGTTAATGAAAACACATCCCACAAATGATTAAGTTGTTAAGTGCTAGTCTATTCCAAACACCTCAGAAGAAAACTCATGCAATCTGTAACACTTACATCAGAGTCCCATAATATTTACATAGAGAAAAGGAAAGAATAAACTGTTAGGGGAAAACATTTGGGTGTAGAGGCGGAAGGAACATTGTTTCAGAGCACAGAAATCTTCATCTTCACTTTCATAATATCTGTGGTTCAACTGGAGTTTATTAAACAACAACAAATGTTTTAACTTTCTGTTGCTAAAATGCAAATATAATTAAAGAACCTACTGATTTTCCATGAAAATTTTTCCTTCCCTGAAATAACCAAAATAACTATGAAAGTATTTTTCAATACCCAGAGAAACTCCCAAATTGCCATTCAGAGGTAGTGTTGCAAAGTGATGCAAATCATAGCTATAAAAATTTGATTCAACATTTAGTAAAGGGAAGTTTTAAGGAACAAAATGCCTAGAGCAATGGAAAGTTGTCGTTTGTTCTTTAAGCTCAATGAGAGAAAGGTTAAAAAAAATGTGTAAATCCCCAGCACAAGAGCTGGAAGCAAAACTGGCTAAGAACAAAAATGAAACTACCTACACCATTTAATTGAATTAGTTCAGAGACATATGAACAGCCCCCTTGCTGAAAAGTCAATTAGTTTTTCAAGAGTATTTTCCACTGTAATAATCTCATGTGCAATTTGTAGCATACCACAAAGAAGGGATTGGATACATCTAATATATCAATAAGGTCATTTGTTCAAAACACAATTAAGTGAATGTCCCATTAAGGTCCTTGCTGACTTGTACTGCTGATTGTGTGTGATCTGTCACCTTGTCTTCAGGATGACAACCACATGTAGGAAGAGATCCAACATTATTTTATTGGAAAAACTCCAGGGGCTGCAACACCTTGCGGATGGCTGACTGAACATGTTGGCTAGGCTGGCCGTCAGTCACTGCTGAGCTGTAGTTTTTAAGTCGTACATTACTGTATCACTCACCACTATGGAGCATAACCCTGCAGTGCACACTCAAAACCAGTCCCATTCATCACTAATGTCCTTGCATATTTCTTACTTTGCCTAAGGCTCCTGATCAGCATTTTAGTACTAAATGCCCCCTCAAATGCATGCAGCCGCAACAGTTCTCCTGATACACAGCTGATTCTTCAATAACTGCTAGATATACTTATTCTCTGCAAGGATTAAAATTGTTCCTCCATCTCAACCATGCCACAGCACCAAAGAGACGTTAGTTGAGAGAATACCACCAAACATAATATTTGTTACTTCTTAAATGCCAGTTCCAAGCAAGCTTGTTTAATGCATTTAAGCATTTACCAGGCACTGCCAAAAGACAAACAGATATCCCTGGAGATTTTCACTCCGTCCTTCCTGAAGGGGAAAAAAAGCTCTTAGATAATTGTATCGTTATTCCTTAATGCTGCAGCCTGACTTTCTGCAGGCTGTGAACATACAAGAGATAAATCAGAAACTTGTGTAAAGACCTGGGAGGAGTTTTGCCAGCAAAGGCCTGCCACTGAACAAGAGCAAGAGGAGCTGACACAGAAGCTGTCAAGAAGACACGCTGGAGTATATATAGTGGAACACGCTTGCATTTACTGATGCTGCCCAGAGCAAAGAAGGATGAATGTCCTGAATTGTGTCAATGCTTGTGTCATGTGCAGACTGTGAGGCCAGCTGGAGGGAGCCAACTGGGCAGGAAAGAGCTCTTCTGTGAAGCAAACAGCTTCAGTGGCAGAGGAGCCCAGCACCACTGACAAGTGACAGATCTGCTCCTGTACAGGGTAAGATCATGCTGCACTCAGCCTGGCCTTCAGTCTCTGCACAAATGCACGCTCCATGGCACCTGCAGGCCACGTCCTCATGAAACCTTCTCTCAGGATTTCATCTAGGGAGCAGGATGGGCAGACTTTGCTCCCACCAGCCTGAGCTCTCCTAAGAGCTGTGGGGATTTCTATGAGTCAGCCAGCGAGAGAAACAATTGAGTTTCACCTGCAAGAGCATTAAGGCAACTGCTTCTGCCAAAAAGGCTGCATCATGGCTCTAAACCAGCCTTTAATACTCCTGCTTGAGGTAAGGCTTGACTATCTGCCCATTTAGATTATAAACTCTTTGGAAATGAGTACTGTTCACGATTGTACTCTGAAACTGGCTACACAAAAGTGTGCACCAAGGAAAGATGAGTGCCAATAGTTCAGGACAACTTAGTCCTAGCTAAACAAACTTAGCTTCTTTCTTCTCCCTGCTTTTTGTGGTGCTGAGAAAATGTCTTCATATTACGTAGCCAGCTCTCTGAGCTACCAAAGCTGCACTTACAAAGGAGCATTTTAAACGGCAGGCGTTGTCTGAGAGTGCATTAATGCATCTATTGCCTTAGAGACAGAGAAAGGGCAGCCTGTGGAGACAGAATGAACCCTCTATGAGATAGAGCCTCAGCATATCCCTATTGACATGGTCTAAGGGACTGGATTATGTCAGGGGGAAAAAAACAGTAAGACAAGCCAATCCGAAAGACAGGGCACACAATTTAAACCAGATCAACATGACTTTGGGCCCAATTTGTGAACATATTGGACTGATTACTGCTTTAGCATCATTTAATACTTTCCTAAGATTAACTCATGACTATTAAGCACTTAAGGATTCAGTGATCCTTTTTATGAGTAACACTTTGAAGTCAAATCCATAAAATTGGTTTAGGCTAAAATTAGAAGGGTGCTAATAAAATGCACTGTGAATACAAGTGTTTCATGATTGCTTAAACAGATATCACCTTAAACAGGCTTCATTCTCCTGCACAGTGGCACACTCACCCAAAATGTGCTAGTGCAAAGAACCAGAAAAGGACAACAGGGAGGGTGACAAACCAAATATGAGGGTTGGTTTGCCATCTACATAGCGTGCAAGGAGACAAGTGCCAGGCTGGGATCACCAGCCTCCAAACATTAATGCTGCACAGGGCTGCATGGCAGATCAGGTGCAAGGCAGTGGGAACGAACACCCTAGTACTCTGGAAGTGACATGAGCCAGCAGCGCTGGCTGCAGCATGGTGGCAGCACTGTGATCCTGCAGTTCCTCTGCTGCCATCCCCAGGTTGATTACAGTATGCAAAATAAACAAAAAGCACATGAGATAAGGAGTTACGGAAGTCTTTTGCTTCCACCAACATGAGACACTGCCAGTCTAGATTTCTTCCTTCTCCCTAGACAAGCTGCTTGGCAGCCCCATCCTCTGGCATGCCCAAATCAGAGGCCTCCCCCTCCTTTCATCTGCCACTGGGACAAAATTCAGAAGTGACACGGCTCAGCTCTTAGCAACCAAGCTAAGTGGCGCAGCATTGAAAAGACCACCGGCAGCTAAACCATTCACTACACTCCTAAGTTTGTAAACACAAGCAACGCTGGGGACAGTGGGACACTCTTCAAAAATGGCTCTAGCACAGACTGAAGCAGGGAGAGTCTGTTCAACTCTATTTCATCGTACCAGGGTCTGCTACTGGGCTTTGTTATTTACCCTGCTCATCCCAAACATGTGTCCTCTCCACTAACAGAGAGACACGTGCCAATCCTTAGGGAACAGAGTAAAACAGGGCTGGGACTGAGGAAGCTTTGCTCTTGCTGGTTTCCCTGCGGTTTTACACCAGTACTGGGGGATACGGGGCAGGAGTTACACTGGTGCAGCAAGAACAGTGGTACATCCTCTAGACCAGAAAGGACTGGTGTTTTTCTCCAGAGAAACACTCCCCAGCCTTGGGTAACACAGGTCAGTAAGGTGAGAAGCACTGCAATACTTGCCATCAGCACACACACAGCTCACAAACTCACTCGCAGCCTGGCCTTCCCCTGGTTTGTTCCCCTGGTGTTAGGAAACCCAGTGAGTACAAGCGGCAGGAGCAAGCCAGGCTGGGAACGCAGTCATGCCCGAAAGGGATGCGTGGGTATCGGGGCGCAGGAAATCCAGCACTCACCTCTGAGGAGTCGGCATACTGAGCAACACGTGCACACTGAAAGAGGAGCTGAGCGTTAGGAACTCATCAGGCTAAGCTATCTCTCAGAAAACACTTGGTATCATCCTGAGGTGGACTTCACGGCCCCCATGTGCATTAAGAGACAATCGTCTCTATTCACCAGCACAGACTCAGGAACGTGCCTCACCCCAGCCTATGTGCCTAAGGGGTGTTAAGGCTGGGATTACATACAGTTCCCTGACTCTGTTCTCAGATCACTAAACAGAAATAACTCCTGACCAGAGGGGTCTGGGAGCATGGATAAGCAATGGGTAACACAGTGCAAAAGGCTGTATGATAATAAACACGGGATGCAATACTGGGACTTGTATTGCTACATGCCTGGACTTTTTTCAGTAGATTTAGACTTCTACAAGCACTGGTGCAGCCATTCACGCAGCTTCTGAAGGAAAACTATCCACAGATCCCTGATCTTCCTAAATCAGGAACATGCTGAGGAGTCCTGCAGGAATTATATTTTGGTGGAATTGCCATAAGAATGAAAGCAACCAAGGGAATTGCATTGCACCCTTCAGTGCAACTGCAGGTGATTCACAGCTGTTCATAAAAGCGTGACCTTTACAGCTTCATCTTCTGGATAGCTTGTGCTCCAGGAAACAGCCTAGAAATAATTTCCAGTTTGAGCCTTCCAATTTAATCCTCACAGTGGCATCAATGACTCCAGACAAAAAAAAGCTTCTGGAGGAAAAAAGAGTTTGAGCTCTGTGTGATTTCCTTGGTCATGATTATCCTGCACTGTAGACACTGAAAGTCCTTCCATAGTTTCACAGTCATTTAAAATCAGCATAAACCAGTGCTGCTGCTGAAAGCAGATGTCCCATTGCCCCTTACGCTCTGGCCTCTACGTTGTCCTGTTGCTGATGTCTGTGCTGCTGCTCTCTATTGGCTGCTGCTCTCTATTGCCTTCAGGATCTGACCCAGGTCAAGAGCAACCTGGAAGCAAGGAACAGCATTTAACTTGAAACAGCTCCCTGGCTGGGGTCAGCATATATAAATAAGATTTAAACATGTCCAAGGGAAAGGACGGTATGGGGCAGAAGCAAGCAGCTGGGTCATACCCTTTCAACGGGAGCGCTGGCTCACATTGGCTGGATGCGGCCATAAAACTATGGCCTTTGTGTAAAAGAGATGAGTCTTAACCAACCTCAAGAGATCTGCTGCGGGTTTAGCCTCTGATTTTACACAGAAGGTAGCTGATCACAGTTTTCTGAAGGTTTATTCTCTGAGAGCTCATACAACATATACATATGGGTTGTTCTCACACATCTTTCTGGAGTTTTTCTGGTTGGTGGGGACTGAGCTATCCACACATATCCTGAATGCCGATATTCCCCTACCTTTGTTCTGTCCTGCAAAGCCTTAAGCGCTTAAGTGCAAACCCAAGAAACAGCCTTGACTCTCTCCTGCACAGATGAGTGGAGACTATCAGAAAGCATACTGCACATTTCTGCTTTGAAATTGTTCCAGCTGAGAATGATCTTCAGCAGAAAAAGCACTCAGTCTGGTCAATACAGAGGGTGGCTGTGTAATGTGTGATCCTCTGGCCCAGACAGCATCAGCTCTGGACACTCACCATCCCGTGATGCAACGCAAATCTGCTGCTGCTGAAATATGTCCCACTGACTCACCCAAAAGAAAAGCCCGTCTCCAGTGCCCAGCCCACACTGGAGGTTTCCACTGACATCAGCAACCGTGAGATGTTTGCATCAGCTATGGGATTGAGCTATGTGACACAGTGGCCAATATCCCACTCCTCAAGTCACATGTGTCACTCACCAGCCATTGCAAGTGAACAAGTTTTATCTGCACTGTCCAGGATGCTTTTAAGGCAATACTGTAGGGTTAAGAAGTGCAAAAGCCCCCCGCTGTTAATAAAGACACATCTGTATGTGGATTGTTACTGGACATTTGCCAGAACAGCAAGATTGCCTTGAAAAATATTTGGAAATGTTGTTCTGGAGCTTGCATGTTTCCATAACGATGAGTAGCCACATGACACTTACAGTTCCCAAAGGAAAGGGACAGTTGTGCCTGTGGAAGAAGCACAGGTTGGAACATGCATCAAAGCTAAAATATCACAGGCTATCATCAGGGTGCCAGGACACTAAGTCAAGAAACACTGAACTAAGAGCAAAGCGAAAGATCAGATAAAGAGGACAGGTGGTGGGCCTGCTATGTGGAGGAAGGACAATCATCGTGTTTCCTCGGTGTGTCAAAGGAAGGTGTGCACATGCTTCACAGGAGCAGTGGCAATGCCTCACATAATGTGCTGTGCGTGGGGTTGGCAGCCACACACAAATCATGGCAAAAGCAGCCTTTGCCCCTTCATGTTGACTGGGTGTGAGGAGGAGGAGAAGGGTCTTTCTGTGGAATGGGTGTGAATACACCTGGAGCCCGCTATACACTGAGCAGTTCTGCTCCTGCAGAAGGCCATCCGCACGAGCGGGACTGCTCAATGTACAGCTGGCACCATTGAAAGGCAGCGAAGACAGCAAAAGATAGAGGGGGGGGGGGAAAGCAGCAAAAGGTAGAGGAAAAGAAGGAGTAATTCCCCTTGTCTCAAAGGCAGCTCTTGCATATTCTATTTCTTGGCCTCATAAGACACTCTTCAGCAGGCAAAAATAAACCCTTGCTGTGTCTGCATGTGGTCATTACTAACTAAATGCCAAGCTCTTCACACGGTGCTTTGTGTCAAGAGGGGATTCAGAGAGTCACAAATCCATCTGACCAGCACCAGTCACATTATAAAAATAACAACAATGGAAATGAAACAAGCTGAGTGGATACTTAATGTAGTCTGAGTACAGCGTTGTCCTGCAGCCAGCTTTTGGCCACAGCCAAAGCCCACCAGTGTCTGAAGAGTCTTTTCACAGGTTTCAGTGGTCTTGGAAACATGCCCAAGAGATGTGAAACCAGAATCTGAACCACTCCTGGTGCTCAGAGGGAGAGTGGGGGGTTTCATACCGACAAACCTGAGTTTCAGAGTCTCATCTGTGCAGGGAGGACAACAGACCTCTCTCCATCCCCCTGTCTTTCCAAATCACTTTCTTTCAGATATCATATCTGCTCTTAAACATAGTCACACAACAGGGTTGGAACTGAGCAACACCAAGTTCCACACCAGATCTGGCTGTGTTTTCATTGCTCAGGGAATGGGATCCATCTAAACTCCTGTAACCTCAATGTAAAGAGCCATCTCTTGTCTTTGCCTCACTGTTGTAAGTGAGGGTGTGCTTCCATGCACCATTCGTTCAGTAACAAAGCTGGCTTTAGGAGCTTCCAGTTCCTGGCCTCTTGATCTCAAAACATATCTCCCCGAAGGTCTCCCAAAACAGTTATTTTGGAGGCTCCCAGTAAGGCGGATCAGCAAATAAGCCTGAGTTAAAAATAATCCCTCAAAAATAGTACAAGAAAGTATTTTTAATCTGGATCAAACTCAAGATTTCTTCCCGAGTCCACAGCTCTTTACTACTGGACAGCTTGAGTGACCATAGCTGGGCTGTTCCATCACCCAAGGGTAGCACTTGACATCTCATTATCATAAGGCTGCTCTTCTCTCTTTGACATGTCTGTCTCTCCTGTTGAGAAAATTAAGAGCCTGTGCTAGACGCAAAACTAATTCTTCAGCCTTTTGTACATCCCTGACAGCCATATGAGAGAAATAAAGGGAGCTATAAAAGCACTCCCATAGGCAATCTGTACATTTACTCCTTCATCAAAGACTACGACCCCCGTAGGACTGAATGATGCTCACAGTGCTTGGCTTTTCCACTTGTAAGGTTGGCTGTGGTCTAGCAATGCCCCTTTCCTCAAACCCCATGTGCAGCAGCACTCCTCAACACATCCAGTCAAAATAACGCTTCAGGTTCCTGTCCCTGCCACAGTTACTGATCATTTGTAAATTCAAGCAGTGACTTTGAGAGCTGCACTTGCAGAGGACTGTAACAAGTTGGTATGGATGGAGGATGTAGAGAAACAGGTGGGAGTGAAAGCACCTGAATAAACAAAGAGCAGAAGAAGGGCTATAAGAGTGGCACCCAGATCAGCAAGTCATCAAGATCCCAGCACACCCTCATACAGCTTCTCAGATGCCTGGACTGGGAAACAAAGGCAGAATAAAAGAAGGGAAAACATAAAAAGGGGCATTTCAGTTGTTCAGAAACTTCTCAGAAGTAGTAGCAAGATAGAGTGCTGTTACTACAAACAAAAACCGTCTTGCAAAACTGGGATCAATCTACAGACAGGACTTTTCTACAGGTATTTTACATGTTATAATCACTGAAGTAAGGTGTACAGGAAAGCCACATAAGAAATCTTCTAAGGTATTGACCTTAAAATACACAAGCATCTTCTACCACATATGGCTTTCAGGACCTGCACATGGGAAGTACAATTTGTTCTGTTTTACAGACACACTGAGGAACAAAGGTACACTCCAGGTCATACCAGTATTTTGCAATAAAGCGGGGTGTGAATTCATGTGTCCTAACTCACAGTCTTGCCTCCTAACCACCACACTGCTTCTGCAGACACAGGACCCGTTCCTTCAAACCTTCCCTAAAAGTCTCTGTAAAGCAGGATTTCTACTCAGACCAAGGGTACCATGTTTGCAGCCCCAGCCAGGTTCTCTATTAATGTTCTTACAGTTGTTCCATGTATCCCAGCTTCTGCTGTCAGGCTTTCTAACAGCTGGTTAGAAAGACCTTTTACAAGAAAGGTGAGGTCTTCGGCTGAGTCATCCTCGTGTCAAACAGATAGTCTGGGGTATTTTTGCTGACTCCCTCTGATGTCAGACTAAATCCCATTATCTCTAAAGCAGGAATCTAAAGAGAAGGCTAATGTTTCTGTGAGACAGTGGGGACTGCTGACATGGACATTTGTGTTTCTTCCCTTTGTTCTTTCAGAATTTGAAAACAAACCATTGCCCTTCAGATAGACTTGTTTTCCATAACAGTGCTTATGCAGACATACTTCCTATCGTAAACAGCTGTCAGATCTCGGTCTCTGCTTCTAGGAGTGCTTTATATGGGTTTTATTTCTTGGTAGGCTTCATCAGTGATAAAGTTCTGGAACTACAACTGTCAAGCGTTGTAACAGCTACTGTACAAGCACAAGTGGGCCTAATTCAAACCAGATATCCATTAGAACTCGCCTTTATGTTTAGATGACATAGAGAGAGAGGCTGTATCACCATATTTGATGATAATGACCCTTGTCCACTACTGTGCATTCTTATCACCCCCTTTTTGCACTTCCATTAGCCCCTCTCATTGAAAACCCACCACAGCCTGCAGCCCACAGCCCACAGCCTAACTTTTCAGCTTAAGTTGCAAGGACTGGCGCTGGCTGCGTTGCATGCTCAAGTCCCGTCCTTGGTACCAGCCAGGAATAGTAACCATCAAACGATGAAACTGTTTTCTCTCTTAAGTGCCAAGAGACTCAACAGCATGTCTGTGTCCTGCGAATTCTGGTATGCGCTGCCTGCAATGTCTGTTTCTATATATTCCTGCCAACTGCATGACTTCATTCAACTGTGTGATATTCCAGACAACACAACACTGAAAATAAAGCTGGCACTTACCTGAGCTGCCAGTGCCTTCTGATGCACTTCTGGATGTTTTTGGCTGGCTCTGTTTGCTACTTGTTCGTACAGTGACTGAAGGAGGAACAGTGCTGCTGCTGTCTCCACGAATCGTCGAGAGATCCTGCATGCTAAAGCTCCTTAGTCTCTCAGACAGGGCCCCCTGTCCCTAGTTAAACAAACAAGCAAATAACACACCGAAAAGTTAGATTCCACAGCGCATTTTAAGCCTTTCTTGCCACTAACTTATTGAAATCCATCAGTACAATAGGAAGGGAAAAAATTGCCTGGTCCAGTAACCTAGAGAGGACAAAAGTGAGTTGTTAAAAGCATAATTTCGCTCTCTTTGCTCTTCCTTTTGGAGTGGTTCTATGCCCAAAGTCTGACCATTCAAACATTTGATGGTGAGCATCTCCTTCAATGTAGTCATTTGAGCTCAGAGCAGCCTTAGACACATCTGAAAGAGCAGGATATTATTGTATCTTTCAGGTAGGTACTTTTCTTCACTAGGATCTGAGTCAAATAGGTGCTTGGCTTCAGAAACACAATTAAATAGTCTGCATCAAAATAACTCCCTTTCAAAGTTCATCATCTATGATGATATTCACGCTGCTGTTCTCAGTCATACACAGAATTTCACAGAAAATTTGAAATTTTAAAGTAATAAAAAGTTATTGTTAAATGAAAAGAAATATTCCAGTGCTTTTTTTCATGCAGCTTAAGGAAGAAATAAACTAACACAATATTTTTCTTTCTTTTTAGACTAGCTCTCAATCAGGCAACAAACATATTCCTTCGTGAAAGGAATGTAGCTGTTCTTTGTAAAGGATGGGTTGGTTAAAAGACACATCTCATGAAAACTACATCCCATCAAAAAGTTGACTATAAGTATACTTCTTTCTGAATTCTGTAACCCTCATACTACACCACTGCCATAAAGTAAGAATGCCAGAAAATAAAATCAATACAGAATCTATCTATCCTTCTCTGTTGGCTACATTAAGTGACATTCAGAATACAAATAGCATAACTGGTAAAAAGTACATTTAGGTTTTAACATTTTGTTGAGGGAGGGTCTGAAAGATACTTCATAGCATATAGTTTTGAAAAAAATACTGAAATAAATACATAGAGCCTGATCCTAAAATTATTTCTGCTAGTGTAAATTAGGAAAAATTCAATGGATGCTTTGACTGAGGTGAAATCAGAAAGATGGCAAACAACAGTAAATATTGCCCTGTTTAACAAAACAGATAAGGCACATCGCAGCAATTCACCGCCACCTTCATTTAGACTTGCATATGTCAAAGCAGTACGTAAGTTGAAGCATAGCCTGAACACTGCCAGAGGGCTCTAGGTTGGGGCTGGACCAGAATATATCACTGATCTCTTCTGGGCTCCAGATTTGAGTATCCTGCCCACAAAACCAGGGTGCAGCTGAGGGGCCAGTGGCGAGTACGCTCTGGTGCTGGCCAGGCACAGAGAAGGGACTCATCATCTACAATCAAAGGCAATACTGGACACATTCCTTGCTAAAACAGTTAGGCAACACTGTCTGTCCCCTAGTGCACTGGCATTGATACATTGGGAAGGCAATGCATTAATTTACCTGCAGGTACTGATTTACCAACATCACTTCAGACATTTCGCATGCAGAGTAATGGAAAATCTCTACCCCATATAAATTCCTTAGGACCTTACTTTTAGGGACGGTAAGTAGACAAGGCATCAGGTGCTTATAACTACAGTCACTGGGATAGCATTTCATTTTTGGCGGCTCACAGCTTAGACGGGTACACT